CTTCCCAAGCTTTTGGTAGGTAATACATTAGACAATGAGCCTCACGTTTCCTGTCTGTGTAGTTATAAGAGAAAAGAACTTCCACGATCTGCAGTCTACCCTCATAAGATTTGTCTGTCTTGTACTCTGGTCTTGCTCTGAATAACACTGTACAAATTACTAGCAGCTAACGGGAACTTGGATCTCTTAGAGTCATTCTTCTTAATTTTGTGAAAACAGTGAATTTGCATGGCATATAATTTGAGTTAGCTGTTGCTTGATACTACATTGAAATAACATCAGCCCTGTAAGATTTTATTTACAAAAATTCTGGATCAACCTTATTCAATATTCTTTGTATAAAAGAATGGGAAAAATGGGAGAAGACCATCCGTTACTGGAGGTGTATTTAAAAGTATTTGAGTTCATTTTGAGATGACTGTATTCCTCCTCCCACCATAGTTGACATAGCAAAACTCCTGTATTGGACTTTTTTTTTTTTTTTAAACTAGGCCACTGAAATGTCTTAGGGAGCAAAGCAGCTTTCACATGCAAATTTTGAGAATTTGTATGTGTAAACAGGAACAAACTAAATCTTAGAACAAATAAGGTATTGCACGACCTTACTTCACAAACAGTTTTATTTTGAGGCCATTTCAGTGGAGAGATGCTTTAGTATTCCCACTTTACAGAGATGGCAATGCAAAGATTTGAGGTCAAGTGTTATGCTTTGAGTATTCAACCTGAGGTTTGCAGGAGGTTTGACTACTCCAAGTGCTCCATGTTAGATAGCATGTCCTATACTTCAGCATAGTTCCTGTTGAATTCAGTGACAGGTGTAGTATCTCAGCAGTTCTGCAAAAAGGCAAGACTTAATATCTGACATCTGACCTTAATATCTTAACATCTGACTTTGTGAAGTGTTGGGCTTAAGTGACTTGTCTACTGGGACACCGTAACTCTGGACACCAGTTCAGCTGTCCTAATCTCAACATTCCTACCCAGAGGAGTCCTGACCCTACAAGGGCTTCTTCGTATTAATTTAAGATCCTGACAGTCTCTTCGGTCTGCCCCTTATTTGGTGGAAAGCAGACTTCAGGATGCATGGCAGATTGCAATTTCTCTTCCAGCTCCTCTAAACACTGTTTTCCATTCACCATCGCTTTTGTCCCCCCATGCAGCGCTTCTCAGCAAGCGTATGTTCAGCCTGTTCCTGTCTCGGCTGCTGCCGGCTCTGGCTTTGTTTGGTCGCCGCTCTCAGCTCACGTTCCATTTGTGTTTTTGTTTCCTTTTACTTGGTCTGAATGAAGGAGGCACTGAGGGTACGAAAAAGGAGCTTTCTGCTCTCCTTGTGTGCTTGGCTTCTGCAAATGAGATGTAAAATGCAAAGAAAGCAGTGCTGTGACCCTGTGGGCACATGATGCAGAGGGATTTCTATGGGCGTGTACAGTGAAGGACTGTGGGGGATTTCATCCACAGAGGCTGGAAAGAATTATGGGCAAACTCCTGTTTATTTCGGATGAACTCAACTGCGTGTTGTTCCCTTCCTTTTCCCTCTGCCCCCAACAGGAAAAGCATAACTATACACATGGAGCAAAAAATGTTCTGCTGGATTTCAAGGCTTTCTTTTGCATTTGGAAGCCACAGCACTTGCTACAGAATCGTAGTTAGTAGCGTGGGCAAAACTTCTCCGCCTTCCAGTCTCTTCGTTTTTGTTCTGAAAAATAGTTGAACTGTTTTGATTTAAATCTGAAAACGATTGCCAATATAAATATAGTAGGAGCCATCCATCATGGTAAACTTTCACTTCTGAATAAGGAATTTGAAGTTTTGAACAACTGAAAGTACAGTCACATAATCAGAAGTGTTGGGCAACTTAATGATGTGTAGCACTATTACTCAGACTGTAATCATACTAGAGTGAATTAGATAGCAACTATTTGTAATTTGGAAGGAGCTAGAAGAATACCAATTCTGATTTTTTTTCCATTTGGAAACAGATTGGAGGATGTTCATGTCTACCATGATGTGGATTGGGGCAGAGGAGACGGGAAGAAATTTTGTACCCCACAAATCTGTCCTTGAGCTGATTTTTTTCCACTTCCCCCACCTACTAACAAACAAAATCCTTATCTGGCATAATTGTATGGAGTCAAAGAGGACATAGAACTGTCTTGGCTAGTAAAGATACTTCTTCTGCTGTTATTGCTTGTGGTTGTAATATCTAGATAATAAAAGTTTTTGAAAACAACTCATCTTCCCAAAAGTGATAGCTTTCAGAATATTAAGTGTGCACCCAGCACTAAGGTGCACACCAAAACTAAGGTTTTCCTTTCTGAAACACTCCAGGGTGGTTAGATGGTGAACTTCTGGCCTAGGTTGATGTCTTAAAGCTTAGTCCATGGCACTATTCATTTCTTTTTAAAGATAAAAGATTTTATAAAGGAAGCAAAGTATGCCGAAAAATCTTCTGCAGGGTATTGAAATAGTACAATAGAAAAATAATCCCTATTTTACCTTTGCCACCAGAATATACAGCTGCTTTTTACTGCAATCAGGTGATTTACAGGCTTGCTCTGCATATTTTTTTTTTTTTTTTTTTTTTTTTTTTGCCCCGGAAAAGCTTGTCATCTTCTCTTTACGCAGAGACAGAAAATTCAGTACAAACAGAAGCAATTTTATATTTAAAGGGCTCCAATTCATTAAGCAACTGACAATGTTGGGCCTAAAGGATAACTTACTTGAGATGGCTCTCAAGTTCTGTTGGGTTGCTGGTGCAGATCTGCTGACACTGGTACATTATATAAGCAAATCTTGTGGAGGGAATGAACGTCCTGCGTCCTGGGTGATGACTGATAACTCACTTTGCTCTAAACAATTATATTTCTTAGCATCTGGGATAAATTCTGGCAATTTAACATGTTATCCCAAGTAACCCTTTCTTAACCTTGCGTATTAAAACCTATGAACTTCTGTTTTATTCCTGGGGGAGTTAAATTGTTAAGTACTTGTGGGCGTTCTGTTTAGCCTTGGAGGGACAGCCATATGGCGTTGCATCTGCTCTGCAGACTTCGGAGAGGCAAGTAATTCTTTTGCGTTCAGTTCTTACTGGTTCTTTAGTTTTAGATGTTACCATTTAATTTCATGGAAAAACAGAGCTTCCCATGCTGACCTCAGTTTGTCTTTGGTAAAGCGTTCTACATTAATTAATATTATTTTTTAAAAAGTCTTAATATAATTAAAGTTTGGCTATTTTTAATGTCTTAGTTATCACTCTGAAGATTGTAGCATAAATACTGCTACTGAACCATTAGGGTTAACAACAGTCAAACTGTAAAAGAAAAAATAGATTGGCCTTTTAAAGTGCTGCAAATAACCAGTGATCTTCTTTGTCGAATAATTTTGCCATTTTGTGGCCTTTGAAACATATAGGAACTGAATTTCTAGACACAAACATCTTGCTTGTGACGAAGTAGATATTCTAATACTGAATACTTTATTCCTGTAAGGCCATGTGAGTGTATTATGCCATTTCTTAAAGGGTCATCTCTACAGACATTCAACTCCTGGGATAATGTGATAATTCAATATCCCCTGTTTATCCCATTAACCCAGGGCAAAGTCAGTATGCTAGAGCCAGATGAAGGCAAAACTAGTCTGCTGCTCTTAGGCTCCAGCTAGTGGTTTTTTGCCCATCCCTGCTAAGACTGCATTCCAAAGAGTGCAATTGTTTGATGGTGAGACAAGGAGGTCTTTCCTCCCAGGCTAATATATCAAGTAGCCTCCAACGCTGGGTTTGAATTATGGTGAAATTGCTGTGGACCTCTTGCTTTTTAAGGATAGTCAGAAAGGAGAAAGTTGTATTGATATAATTTGGAATAGAGTTTAAACAGATAGTGTTAAACCTACTGAAAAAGACTATGTAGCTGGTCCATGACTGGCTTATTTGGTTTAGCTAGGGTAAATAAGCTAATCAGCTTTAAAGCAAAATAAGCTTTTTTTTTTTTTTTTTTAAGAGAAACAAATGTCTGCATAGCTCTTTGCACTGGTTAAACTATATTAGCTTAAGTAACATCTTGTAGTATTAAATAATGTACTAGCAGACGCTTCTAATGCCTGCGTTCCTGGGTTCCTCATCTTTCTCTTTTTAGGGTTAATCCCTTGTTTCCAGATTAATCTATCTTTGTGTTCACCTCTTTCTCAAAGGTCTCTCTCCACCAGCAATCCAGCCTTCCTACTTAGGAACGTTAGTTTTGCTGGCTAAGGTCATTCCTGTAGTGTCTGCACCTGAACTTGTGTGCTCCTTATTTACTCCTGGTAGGCATGTGAGACCTCCCAGCATCTTGTCTGAAATTACATCTTCGTAAGTTCTTGAATCTGATAGTTTATCACATATACCTGTTTGGAAGACCTGACGGTTAAATTAGGGTATGTTTAAAAGAGAGGAAAAATTTTTTTTTCTCCAGAAATAATGAGCTAACATTTCTTGTAGAAGCTTGAGAGTAATTGAAAAGCGGTTTCCTTCTGGCTGAAGATAGATTTTTCTAGTTTCAGTTTTGTCCTAGATCTCAGAGAACGTGTTGGAAAATATGTTGAAGGAGTTGTCTTAGATACTTGCACGTACAGTTGAGAAACTAAGCAGCTGGAGAGAGTGGGTAGTTCTGTAAACAAGAACAGATAAAATGCACTGGGAATGATGCATTTGCTGCAGCAACTGAAATGACAGGTGTCAAGATCTGTGCACAACTGCAGTTGAAAATCTGCCAAAATATTTAGCTTAATTTGCAAGACTTGTTTAATGGCTCTCTTGTTGTTGACTCTCTTCAACTGCATGCGTTTTTGTTATATACTGCATAAGATGGCCAAGCTGTCGTTGGAGGGATTTACCGTTCTTTTTTTTACCTACCTGCGTTGTTTATCGTATTTTTCTCTTGAATTAAAACCCAGGAAAAGCTTAGTAAAATGAGATCTGTGTCTGCTTGCATCTTGCACGTGTACTGAATGTTTCTTCTTATCCCTAGGCTTGACAGGGGACCAGCGAACTTACCATGGGAAGGAAAATGTGGACTCTAGGCATAATCGAGGAAGAGGAGGAGAGACGACCCGCTTTCACACTGTCAATGTAGCACAGCCTGTCCGATTTAGCAGTAAGTTGCAGACCGGGAAATCTGGCCCATCTCCCTACTAATTAATTTACTAATTTAAACTACTTTTTCTTTCAAGGAAAAATTAACAGATTTTTGCCTTTGTTGGGGGGTGGGGAGATTTTATTTGCGTGTGGTGCTTTTTAAGGTTGTTGCACACTTCATTTATATATGTCCTGCTATATTGCATAATTTATGTAGCAGGCTGATGCACAGACCCCTTCTCCCTAGTAATCATGTTTTTGTGAAACAGGAGTTGCAATTTTCTGTTACAAACTATGGGCCTAGTTTTCTGTAATTACAATAAATTAAGTGTTGATTTTAGCCTTCAGCAGGGGTCATAATCTAGCCCTTTTGTCACTAGATGTGAGCTTGGATGCAGGTTTGTTTTCCTGGAAAGGGGAGGGGGGAACAGAATTGATTGCTTTTAATAGAAATCATTTTGAAGATGATCTTGCAGAAATCAGCTTACTGTCATTAGCTGAAATTTAAGTACATGTCTGATGTTCTGAGTTCTGTGCTCTTTTTAAGGGAAAAAAACATTCTTTTGGGAGTGGGAAAGTCGGGAGAATTCTTCATTTCTTGCTTCTCTGAAGAAAAAGACTATCAAAGAAGTGTGTAGCTCTCACCGGGTTTCTCTGTCACTTCCATCGATCACTCAGGAAGTCTCTTCCCCTGCAGTACTGCTAGCCCCGCTGCCTGCACCCTGGTGGCAGCGTTATCTTAATACTTACAAATAACTTGCAGCTATCCTCCCTCTTGTCGTGGTTCCTAGTGACTGCTGCCTCCGAATCTCTTCAGGTCCAAGAACATCTTATTCTCCGGTGCCTTCTCGCTCTTATCTCAGTCCCTGTGTGCTCCAGGGATCGTCCAGTGATTTGGGAAGGCAAGAGAGCCCTGATTAGTTGGAGGGGGTGGTGTGGGCAGGCCAAGAAGAGGATATGCGGAGAAGACCACATGGAAGCAGTGAAGTTGGGAATGACTGCTTTGCCAGGTGGTGATCATTTTGAAAGAGACAAGTGATTAGCAAAATCTAATTTTATCCCTTCATTGATTTTAGGGAAGAGACTGTTATTAAAATAGGTATCTTGATTTGTCATGGATTGCGGTATCTAACCTGTTCTGGTAAACAGATTTGTAGAAGGCAATAAAGCAATTTAGAAATTGATGTGGAAATAACTAAAATGCTCTACAATCTAATTGACTGATACTGTATTCTGTCCCATCTTACAGGGATGTGAACAGTAGATTTTAAAAGCTCCCATTGCTCTTTAAATATAAATGGAGAATGAAGAAATATGCTTAATTAAAGGGCTTCAAATCTAAGTTTGTGTGTCATTATTTGATGATAAAGATCACTGTTTCTGAAGGGAAGAAAGTCCTTAGGCTTGTGAGCAGGACCTCTTTTGAATGCTTGCAACAAACTTAAAAGTATGTGAATTTAGTACCTTTCTTAGGTGTTGTGCAAAATGAATATTGCAAATGCAGGTGCTAAAATCATATTTCTTGTCTGTTTTAAGTTTCATCAGCCTATCTGTCTCTGTTATTCCGTTACCCATCACCTCCAAGAATGCCAGTCATCAAAGCCTGCAGGTCTGTTTCATCCAGAAAAGTCTCAAGGCTTTTTGTTGCATATTTGCTTAATTGAGTTAATTGAGAGAGAGCAGTTCATCACATCACCTTCTTTTCCTTCGTATGTTTCCTGAAGATCCGCTCTGCAGTGATGTTTTTCAAAACAACCGTTGTCCCAGAACCCCCATTGTATCTAACGATTGACTGTGAGAGCAGGAGGATGTGAATACTGCTGAGACTGTTTGTAAAAGAAGTTGGGCTAACTACCTGGTAGAAAAACAGGAGCATTAAATTGCCCACCTCTGGTTTTTGCTTCCTGCTTCTAGCTGCTTGCTTCGACTTAGATTGATCCAACTGATCAAATTTATAAAGGTGGACAGGGAAGTATCTTCCACAGTAGATCATCAGTCTTAATTAAGACTTTAAATGCTGTCACAATGCAGTGAAACATCACTTGGAGTTGCCTCTTTTGAAATGCATTTTACAAATTTCAAGTTTTCCTTTAACAACAGCATTAATTAAGTAAACCTTCTATGATCTGTAATGCATGCATCTCCTAGTGAGGTAAAGTATATACAGGGCTTGTTGTGTATACATTATCCAAGTCATTACCTATTAAGGTGTCATAAACTGATGAGAAGGCCTTCCCTTGAGTGAGGATCCTAATTTGGGGGGAATGGTTTCCCTTCTATTCTTCATGTTTCCTAGGAAAGTGCCCAACAGGATGGCACCACTATGAGGGCACGGCCAGCTGTTATAGAGTCTATTTGAATGGGGAGAACTACTGGGACGCTGTGCAGACATGTCAGCGGGTGAATGGATCCCTTGCCACCTTCACTGCAGACCAGGAGCTAAGGTTTATTCTGGCACAGGAGTGGGACTTGGAAGAAAAAGCATTTGGAAGGAAGGACCAACGTAGGTGAGTGGGAAGGAAAGGACAGAGGCTGCGTTTTAGGGGAGAATGGTTTCTGTGTGCTGTAAATGCTGGTAGTTCAGTTTGCTTAGAAAATCTAAAACTAAAATTGACTTTGGGTTAATAACCCTGCAGGAGCATGCTGGTTGATGGCAGTGACGGTCAGAGTTTTAGCTTTAATCAGCATTAACAAGTAGGCTACAACTTGGCCTAGTCTTTTTGTTTTCAGGCGAGGTACTAGTGTTCTTGAAGAGCAACAGTGAAGATGAATTTTACAATGACATATTGCTGCATCTGCTTTGTGTGGAAATAATGTTCCTTTAAGCTTTTCAACAACGTTTTTGTTTCCATTTCCATTAAGTACCAGTAGTTCTGACAAAGACTGCAAACTTGACATAAAGAGCCATTATATAAATAATAAAGAGCCATTCTGAATTGTAAGAACTATGTTTTGGTGACTAAATGTTTTATACTGTTAGTTCACAGCAAATGTAGTTCCTTTTTTAGCCTGTGGGTTTCTTGTTCAGTCTTATGTGCTGCCATGCTGGTGATCCACCAGCAGTAGTCCAATAATTGTTTATCTCTGTCTCTGGAGATTTAGATGGTTTGATCCTGAGCAGTCTGACATAAATTGTGCATGTTTATAAAATATTTGGCTACTGGATGCTTTTGTGTGGTTTTGGGCTCAAGATACTGAAGTGCTACCATAACAGCAGAATAAGGTGCCACTTATATGTGGAAATAAAGGTCATACCGATATGTCAGACATGACAAACTATGAGGTGTTCTCCTTTATTGCTCAGTTGTAGTTTCTCTTTCTACATTTCCAATGTATGGGCTGAAACGTTAAGGAAAAGATCATCAGAGTGTTTTAAAAGCTAGTTTTAAGTAGAAATTGTAAGGTTCTATATAATTAGTTTTTAATTGTGTTACTATTGTTTTGTTTTGTGTCTTTAGAATCCTTAAATATTTTTATTATAGGTTCTGGGTTGGATATCAGTATGTCATCACCAATCGAAATCACTCTCTAGAAGGTCACTGGGAAGTAGCCTATAAAGGTAGGCCTCTGAAATTATTACTTAGTTAACTGTCCCATGAAAAATATCTTAAAGCTTGCATATTATCTGTTAGAAGAACATTGCTTCTTTCAGTGATGATGCTGAAATAGATAAGGGGAACTGCTTTGCTTTACAGTATTAAAATGGAAGAGTTTAATACATTATGCACATGCTTCATTTTCAAGTGTCGGAAATTTCATAGTTGTTCACAGTAAGTGCTTGTAGGAACAGTGAGTGCTTTGCCGTTTATTTGGGATTTCCCTTTGATTTAGCTGAGAAAAGGAAACCACTCAGAAGCTTCTCATTTTATGTGGTTAATGTCTGGTTTTACTGCTGATTCCTAGTATTAGTATTTGAATACACTAGGAGGGGATATTTGGGTTGTTTTGGCTTTTTTTTGTGTTTTGGGAGCTTTCTATGTGATTAAAAAAAAAAAAGAAAACTTGAATTTTGAATAATTACCTGGAAATTGTTTCACTTTAAAATATTTCAGGTAATTTACTTAAACCAAGAAAAAAGCCTACTTCCCAGATTAAAACATTTCGATTTATATAAAGAACCAAACATTAATCTGGTAGGCACTGCTGGCTCAGCTTATGCAATTACAGAACAAGCAGCTCCCTCTGCTGAAAACACAAAGATCCTTTTTTATGCATTTTTTTTAAACTAATTCAGTTGAGTGACTAGTCAATCTCAAAGTCATTGTATACACTCTTACATGTCTAAATGCTGCACCAGTTTAGCATCATAGAAAGTTTAAAACAAGGCCTTTCTTTAAGTTTCGACACTGTGAATTCCATTGTAGCATTTGAAAGCTAATCCAAGTTGCTCTCTGTTCATGAACAGCTTTCAGGAACGGGAAATCTGTGAGGAAAACTGTCCATTATGTATATCTACATAATTAACGAGCAGGATTTTGCTAAACGGTTTAGGTCTTGAAAAATACTTCTCTTGGTACATGAGGCGTTTGGTAGAACTCAGCTAAGATTCCCAGTGACATTGCTGATTTTACTGTGCTGACATGCACAAAAGTGTTGATTTCTTCTGCCACTGAAGTAGAAAAATTTGATTGAATATTCGGAGAAAACCGCTGCGTCTTGTGGAGGCAGTAGCATTTTCATTCAGTTCCTTAAAGTAAAGCACCTAAGACACGTTTTTTGGCAGCGGGGGGAAGAGGAGAAAGGAAATGGCAACTTTTCCTGATAAGGGTTGGTGATACCTGGCTTGGACAAAACTATTTATCTGCAGATAGGTTTAGTCTAGAAGCCCGAGGAAAGCTTCTTCTGAAGAGGAGCTTTCTGTGCTCTTTGGGAAGTTGATTGCACTGCCATCTGCTGTCAGTGTTTACAACAGTGAAGGCGTAAATTGTAGCAAGTCAGGGTATTGCTTTATACCATACAAATTGAATATTTATTTTGATGCGTTATATAAACTTCAGCCTTCTCAATGCCATAGAATCTTTTGCTTGCAAGAATTTATTTAATGAACAGATACCTAAATGAAACAATGTTCCTAGTAGCACTTCAGAAGCTTCTGAAAGATTTTACTTAAGTTTCATTGACTTATAGTGGAGCAGACTCTAAACTGCTTGTATCTATTTGAAAAGTGATTTAGGGTCCTACAGCTGAAAATTTTAATCCATTATTTCAAACTGTAGAAGGTGAGCCCTCAAAAATGATAGTAGCATGCCATTTCAATACCAAAACAACCCAAAAACCTGACCTAACGTTGCTTGAGAGGTCCATCATGTGAGAAGACTGCTTTATATGCTAAATGCAGGAGCTGTTTAAGTCAAGTTTGAAAAGTAGATGTCTGTAGCCATCTCAAATAGGCTAGTTTGCTGTCTCTTGGTCTCTCATTAATTTCAAGTCCTCTGCAGCTTGGAGTACCAGCTGATTAACAGTGAAGCCAGACACTGATCAGAAGCAACACTTGTAAAGTTACAAGATGCCCTTGACACTTCTTGCAGTATGAGATACCAAACTGGATGTCACTTTTGTATGTTGCTAAAAAGCACAAGTTTTAAAGAAGTTGCCAATACAAAAGTAAACCTCGATTGTAGGAAATTATTCCCCTTTTAGTAAAAGGGGGGGAAAAAACTGGTAGGAAATCTAAGCATACAAGGTTGTTGTGTACACAAGTGATTTATTTTTGCTTTTGTGTGGGTCTATGTTCATAAACTAACCTCTACCATGGGAAAAATAACTGGCTGCTCAGGCCTGACTATATGGAGCCCATCACAATACAAATTTTTAACAGCTATGTGAGTTGGAAGGACACACGGTACATACCACCACTGCCGGAGCGGAAATGGCAGTGCAGCCTTATTCTCAGGTCTGAACTAAGCAGCACAGGTTTCAGACTGTTTATCACTGTTCTGCACTGCACTCTGAAGGAGCAACATGAGGCATGGAAATGCAGCTCTGCAGTCCATTGCCCAGGCTTGATGAACATGTGCAAGCATCTTTAGGAGCACTAGCAGGTGCTTGGAATATGAGGGAGGAGATCCTGATGGTCTTGTGCTCCACCAGCATTTGGCCAGACACTCAGGTTTGCTGGTCACTGCTCCGTTTTCCTCTGCTAGCATATCTGTGCTGGGTGTCGATTGAAGGGGTCCATAGAAATTGGCAGGTGAGCCCCACAGGCCTCTGGAAAGAAGTGTTTGCAGAGATATCAAAACATTACTCCTACAGTTGCAGAATGACAAAATTGTGCAGTACTTAGAGAGAAGAAGCTACTGTTTTCAGTGACTCATCCCTTCCCTCCCTGCTGTTTGCCTTCCCCCGGAGGAATGTTGCTAATGGAAGCTAAAGCTAGAGGACAGTAGCCTTATAGTAGAGTTGGTGTGCATGAAGTAAGTGACATTACAGAGCCTTTCTAAAGCTTTGCATACCCGCAGGCTGCTTATACCAATGCATCTTGTTCTAGGCTCTTCAGAAGTATTTCTGCCCCCTGACCCTATCTTTGGTACGGCTATGTCTGAAAATGAAAACGTTCTTTGTGCTCAGCTTCAGTGTTTCCATTTTCCTACCCTTCGGCACCATGGTTTACACAGCTGGTATGCTGAAAACTGCTATGAGAAATCCTCGTTCCTCTGCAAAAGAAGTAAGTTGGTTTTAGTTCAGTGTTACTGTGTTGCCTGTTTAACTATGCACATAACAAATACAGGGAAATCTGTTCGTTATCCTTTCTTCCTTTTGCCCAGAGAATAAAGAAAGGGGGGGAGGGGAAATGCAGAAGTCTTTCCTGAGTTAAATAGCAACACCATATGGTCGGTTGCCAACTGTAGTACAGATTTTCACTTAAAAATGAAAGAGTGCCGCTCTTTGTTAAGCAAGCGTATCAGCCCCAAAATGAGGTTTCTTTTTTCTTTTTTTTTAGGCTTATTAGTAAACATTATTTTTAAACTATTAACCTCACATGAAAATGAGGGAACAATTATTTCTGGTTCATTTTGAATATAGCAACTTCTATTAAATTCTTTCCAGCCAATAGTTCAAACCATGGGAAAAAGAAAGGCAACTGTAGCTTCCCAGTTAAAGGGAAAAAAAGCACGCTCGTTCTGTGTCCTGCTTTTCCTTACTTCAAAAAGCTTTGTATCACTAGAGGGGGAAACACTCCTTAGTATTTTCAGATAACATTTAAGATCTCTGATACAGCTGATACTCCTCTGCAAAAAGGAGGAAGTAAATATATATGGTGTTGCACTTTTACTATGGTTCTTAAAGTATTTCCTGCTTGCTTTCTCTTTTTAAAACGGAAAAAAAACTTACAGAATGGGAAGGCAGGAAAATTCAGCTTCTCTCTGCCTGTTTTTGCCACCACAAGGTTGAAAATTAGGAAGAAATGATGTCGCCTTGTCTGCCTTGATATAAAAGAAACTCTTGGAATCTAGTGTTGAAGGCCACGCGTTTAGTCAAAATATGACAATTTTTAATCATCATCTTAGGACAGTGTAAGGAAGGCAGTAGCTCTGCCAAACAATCTTAACCAGAGGATGAGGGGGAAAAAAGATAAAATGTGTAAGTCGAGCAGAAGAACACTGCATCCAGTTTCCACACACACAAGAAAGACATGGACCAATTGGAATGAGTTCAGTGGGTAGCCAGCAAGATGGTGAAGAGGGCTGGAGCACCTGCCCTGTGAGGAGGGGCTGAGAGAACTGGGGTTTCTTCAGCCTGGAGAAGGGAAGGCTTCGAGGAGACCTAATAGCAGCCTGTCAGGAGGTTATCAAGAAGATGGAGTCAGGCTCCTTAACAGTGGTGCATGGCAGGAGACAAGAGACAACAGGCGTAAGTTGAAACGAGAGGTTCGGCTAGATGTCAGAAAAAACTGTTTCACCATTGACCAAGCAGTGAAACAGGTTCCCAAAAAGGTTGTGCACCCTCCATCCTTGGAGGTTTTCATGACCGCGTTAGATAAAGCCCTGAGCAACCTGGTCTTACCTTATAGCTGACCATGCTTGAGCAGGAGATTGAGCTAGAGACCTCATGAGGTCCCTTCCAACCTGAATTTTCTTGTGACTCCTGTGTGTCCTCCCAGCTGGCCTGTGCTTAAGGCAGAGAGGGCAGTCAGCCCTCCCTGAGCAGATACTCCAGGCTGGCTGCGGGTCCGAGCGCTGTCTCCATTCTCTGTTTGATTCTGGGGCTTTGAGCCTCCCTTTAGGTCTGTGGGGAGGAAAGGATGATGAGCAGATGTCTAGGTTTCCTACAATGGGCAGAGACCAAGATGTGCCTGTGGCAGCAGGAAGTACTACTGCCTGTCTTCCCTTCTTAGGCCTGATCTACTAAGAAAATCTTTCAGATCTGGTACAGAGAAGACCCAGCCTCCCCAGACAGGAAGGAGCTGTAGCAGGCATGATAGTGAAGCATATCCTTCTCAGACTGCTTACTTTGCTATGTTAGTCTCTGTGTCTTGGAACGAATGCCTGAAACCATTGTCACTTCCATTAAATACTTAAACTTACTTGGTCAGTTTCAAGTATTAAACAGATAGTCTGGACACATGCAGGGATGATTTATCTTCCCCACTCCTTTGAGATCCCTTTTGAAAGTTTCTTTGGTTAAATGTCACACTTATACATTAATCTTCTGCTTATATCTACAAATCAGATTACAGATCAAACCGGACCTCTTATCTGGCAGGCACATAGACACTTGGGTATTGATTCACATTTCTGTTCTAGGCCAGACTTGCGTTGATATCAAAGACAACATTGTGGATGAAGGCTACTATTTCACCCCAAAGGGGGATGATCCCTGTTTGAGCTGTACATGCCACAACGGTGAACCTGAAATGTGTGTGGCTGCTTTATGTGAACGGCCCCAGGGATGTCAGCAGTATCGCAAAGACCCTAAGGAGTGCTGCAAATTTACGTGTTTAGACCCAGGTAAGACGACCGCTGCAGTTGAGCGCTAAACTCATGTTTCTTGGCAGAACTTGGTTATCTTTGGGTATAACTTTGAGAAGATACATCCTTTCAATTCCTAGACATTGTCGAGCACAAGCCCTGTGTGGGGGAAAAAGCTTAACTCACAGGAAATGAAACACTTCAGACTGTTGCTAGAAATAATTAGTCATCTTTGATGCTCCTTACATAAGAGAGGCAGTAGCTTATATTCTGTATGGAGGCTGACAGTAGTGTGGATTTATAATAGAGCGACTATTGCCATGCCTAGTTGTCAAGAAAAGAAAATATTTTTACTTGAGCACTAATACTAAAGTACTGTTTTTAGGACGGGAGTATTTGTGTGTGTGTGTGTGTGTGTGTGTGTGTGTGTGTAAGCCTGCATGCAAGGATGACATAGGAAGTACATTTTAGAAATTATACAGAGATTTAGTAACCATCAGGGCATGTGACCTTGCTCATTGGATTTAGCATCTCAGTGCAACTTCTTGTTGTGGATCGATAAAGTTTACATTGATTCTTCTGTGCAATGTTTGTCAGTTGCCATTTAGAGACGTGGATATTTGGTTTTCTTTCTCTGTAAAAAGACTGGCAAAAATAAATGTTATATCGTATTTGGCATTTCCTGGTACTTTAAAAGAACCTAATCTATTTAAAAGAACCTGCTTGAGCACACAAATAAGCTATTGTTTAGAACTGCTTGCAGTATGGAAAACGTGGAAGGTCATTTCTGCTTTGGCCTATTCCAAAAAAAGGAGTGCTTATTGGCTTCCAAATTTGCAGTCGTTCTCATTTATGTCTTAACTGCACGTGTTAATGATTAAAGGCCACTGGCTGCTTCTTGCTGTCGTTCTCATTCGTTCTGAAGGTTGTGTTTGCACATGTTTGTAGGTAGTGTTGCAGGTTAGTTGGTGAAAGAGTGGGACAAAGCAGCAGTTTTTCTCCCACTCTTATCAGCAGAGATAAGACTTTGTCTTCACTTTTTTTTTTTTAATCTTCTGAAGCAATGTCAACAAAGCATCGGCCAACAGACAGGATAAGATGACCTGGGATAACCTCGTGCAGCGTTCTTTAGTCTTCGCTTATGCTGTTGGTCTTAACTATTTCATGAATACTGATTTGAAGAGTATATTTCACCACGGTCTTTCTGATCCTTAAGCTGCTCTTTCTGTACTGATACTAAATGAGACTGTTTTATTATGTTCTTGTCTGAACTGTTCTGGCTTTGTTTAGTAACTTAGTTTCTGAGAGAAGAATCATCAAGCAGTTGTCAAACCTCCTTTGTAATGAAGTCAGTTCAGCTGGTGATAAACACTGAAATTTTGAAATGAACCATTTCAGTTCATTTATAAACACCCAGAAGGATGTTTAAATGGCTATTCCAGGTGACAAAATTAATGAATTACTTTCTTTAATCAGCACGTATTTGTCTTTGTCCAATTCTTATGTATATCTTCCCTAAACTATGTTGCAAAGGAAAGAAAATTTACTAATCAACAGTAAGTAAATTAATCACCTGAGGAGAGGCTAGGGGAAATAAATCCTTCTCTCGGGTTGGCTGGTAATCTGCTCTTGCTGTGTGAGTGGGTGAGCAACGATTACAATTGGATAAAGAACATTACTCAAGGGCTTGGTAGTAGAGCAGTTTTTCAGTGGTAGGAGTAAGCTGAGCAATCACAGTTGTACTTTCCTGAAAGATGCTTTTCCTCATTTAACTGAAGATGAATAACTCAGGAAAATCTTTCATGCACAGTGCTGAAACTGAGGTAGTCTGTCTATTGGCTCTCTATGGCTGTGGTAGAAAAGGTTTTTTTCTGCATGGCACTCGTTCAGACAGATCTTGAACTCTCATTTGTGAAAATAGAGTAAAATATTTTCAAAGAGCTGACAGTGCAGGAGACTCTCTAGTGACTAAAGCAGTGCAGTCGCAGGATATTACTGCTGTCTTGAGCATAAAACAGCCTTTCTGAAACGATCTATTTGTATTTATGTAGTTTGGAAGTCTCAGCCATGGAGACTTATCTTGTTATGTAGAAACTAGGTCTTTGTCTTTTTTTTTTTTTTTGTCTAGGACTTTGTCTGACAGCAGTTTTATCTAGCCAAACAGTTGGATGTTAGGATCCAGGCTGGCAGCAGTGTGACAGAGGTCCATGACTCCCCAAAGGGTCTGAGAATTGCAGTTTAGCTGATTTAGAGAGAATGTGTGGAAAAGGCAGCAAGTGCTCATGTTTCTGATTACAAGATTGTATCATGCTTGACTATATGTATTTTACTTAATTAAAACATTTTATTTAAGACAGTTTATTGCAACTAATTTATGATGTTCACAAAGTCAGCATCGCTGTAAAGCGGAGCAGATGCAACGGCAAGTCTGTGTTGTTCAAAAGGGTGTGCTGGGATGGAGGGTTACTGCTGCTGTATGACTGCCTCAGTTTAAGGTGACAGTAAGAGATGCTGAAAGATCTGACAGCCTGCAGGTTTTTGTACAATCTGGCTGGATTTGGGAGGGTGTTACATTAGTTCTCTGCACAGTACACTTTGAATTACCTGTTGCCAAGAACACGTTATGTAATAAATACCAGCCTATTAGCCAAGTATCTTTAATTATGCATAAATGGGGTGGATTTCTCTGTTGTTAGCGTTTGTAGGAAACTAGTATTTACAGTTTTTGTGAGGCTTCTAGCTTCCTTTTTGTAAGGAATCTTTGACACAACTTTTGCTACTGCTACTGAAAGGGAAAGTTATTGAGAGAGCTCTCATGGCCATGGTGGATGTGGGAAAGAAGAGGTGACCAGAGTCTGGCTGGGGGATCTGTGCCCAGCAGTAGCTCAGGAGCTGCTCCTGCTTGTGTTCTCCGGCAGTGTGTGACCGTAATGACGACGCGGTACAGCTGCCTTGTCCTTTTCTTATCCACACCTAGCCTGGGTGTGTTTCCTGTTCAGAGTTCTTTAGTCACCTTAGTCATTTTTATCTCTTCTTTGTGCAGAGTATTTGTGTGTGTGTGCGCGCCACTTAAACATAATCAAGTGTTACCAGTTGAACTGTGAGTAATAAATGCCTTTCATGTCTGGTATTGCTGGAACAGTGATAACTTGCTAGCAGCACCTTTCCAAGGGTAGATCTGGTAGCTATGGAATGGAGCTAAAAGTCCGAAGCTCTTGGGCCTGTTTCACGTTCTGCCACTTGCTTGCTGTGTGGTTCTAGGAAAATACTCTAATTCCCCTTTACCTTAATCTCCTCACTTCCTGAAAGATTATCATCATGTCAATCTCCTTTTTAAGGCATTTTAGTTCCTAACGTTTAATGTATCACCAATTTAGAAACAACATATGGAATTAGGATGACCACATCTTGGTGATAACGAAAATGCGTAGAGATTTTTGTTGTTTGAAATGCAAAAGTTAAGATGTCCAGAAGTCACGTAGAAATAGAGTGTAGGCATGCCAGTTCCCAGGCCTCTTCCACAGCTTCCAGGCTTGCTGTTCTCTTTGGTATGTAAAACCAATAGCCGTGACAGGGAGAGAAGTGGGTGCCCAGAATGCTCTTAAACTTCTATTTTTCCCTTTTTCAGATATCTGAAGCCTTCACTGTTTTCTCACTTTTGCTGATTAACACACTTTTAGAAGCATTTAGGTCCTTTTACAATAAATAGATAAATCACATGATGATTTGTATATTTTTACATTTTTGAAATGCAGCAAAGTGTTAAACAGGTATGAATCTTAACTCTACGTTTATCTTTCTAGTACTGACAGAAAAACATCAAGAAAAATGAGTCTTGAACAGAAGTAACAGACTTTTAAATATATTTCTTGTAACAGATGGCAACAGTTTGTTTGACTCGATGGCCAGTGGAATGCGTCTGATAGTGAGCTGCATTTCCTCCTTCCTCATCCTCTCTCTGCTCCTCTTCATGGTCCACCGGCTACGCCAGAGGCGGAGAGAGCGCATAGAGTCTTTGATAGGAGCAAATTGTAAGTAGTCTGTATCCGTAATGAGTCTTGATCTCAGTCATGTAAACGTGCCTCAAGATGAAGAGAGTAGAAGAAATGCAAGTCTATGTAGAGAGCATCAGTGGAAGCTTGGTTATAAATACTGCTAAGTACTGTATCCAAATGTAGCTCTGTGCTAGCTGTCTGAACTGATCCTGATTTGTAGAAGTTTTGTATCAATGCTTATCTTACTCCTTATGCTTGTTGTTGACAGGTTGATGTGTAGAAAGTTGAGAAATTTCAGCCTTGCATGTCTCTCCATGCCTGAATCTGTGTATCTTGGTAGGCTCTTCAAACTTAAATAACTCCTTTTTTAGCCACTAATGGAAAGAGTTTGTTATTTGTGTGTAGTCTGAAGGTGGAATATCTTTAAACGTATAGGCGATCTCCTTGATTTGAAGAGCTTAGATTCAGATTTAGATGTGATGCAGGACCAATGCTGGGCATTGTTGTGTAACTAGGTGAGTTGACTTGTATAGGTTATGCAGGCTTCTTGATAGCTGGCTTTTTTTTAGGTCTTCAGGAGATGTGAGTTCTTGGGGTGTGAAAGTGGAAGAAGGTGTTGATCTGCCTTAGCTTGAAGAAGAAAAACATGGGATGAAGTTATTTCTTCTCTCTCTTCTCTTGAAATAGTGCACCATTTTAACTTGGGCCGCAGAATGCCTGGTTTTGATTATGGTCCGGATGGTTTTGGAACAGGCCTTACTCCGCTGCACCTTTCAGATGATGGAGAAGGTGGGGCGTTTCATTTCCATGATCCGCCTCCACCCTATACTGCTTACAAGTATCCAGATATTCAACATCCAGATGACCCACCTCCCCCTTATGAGGCTTCTGTCAATCCAGACAGTATCCTTTGTTCTACTCCAGGTATACAGGCAATAATTTCTTACTCTTATTGTTGTCTAGTTTGGTTTGAGGGTAGATAATTTGTTTTGAATTATAATTTTACATGTTTTAGTGATTGTGATGGAAAAATATATTCCACAATACAATCTCCTATTTCTGCGATGGAAAAGTCTTATGTTAACATGGATCACTAGGCTTGCTTTTCTTAATAAAGATTCTTTTGGGTTGCCTAAATTAAAAGGGAAATCCGTGCTGCAAGCAATGTAACTCTTAGACTTTACCTACTTTAAAATATTAACTTACATGGGTTACCTAGCTTCCGCTGTGCTGGCAGCTTGTCTGGCCTTTTGGAGATGGGTCTGAAGAGAGTGTTGTTAAAGAATAGAACGCATGTTCACGTACAAGAGTTTTCTAAAATTTCCAGCTTCTTCCTCTCTGTTCCTCTCTCCCTTCAGAAAAAATCAACCAAAAATATCATTTTTTTAATGATTCACCTGGTGCTCTTCAGTTTTGCAGCTGCAATATTAACATACTGTAAAATTCATTCCAATTTGGGATTTTTAAAGCAGCACATCTCACAAGATAAGCAAGACTGATTAGTGCAAGTATCTTATTTATATTTCAAAGTTTTATATTTGCTACATAATTTTCCTCTTTTGCAATGTCATCTCTTTATACAGTAATACAAAAATAGGAAAAATTTGGAGCTTCCAGAAATACGAATAGTAAATTTATTTGGGAACGTGAAATGATGCACTTCATGCCCTGATTCTGCTTGTTTTCCTCTTTTGCAGATGGAGTTCTTTCTCAGACAGTGCAAAGCAGTCCTCCATCACTAGGAAACTGTGATGTATCCCCACAGCTTACAGAGGAATCGCTTCCTCCCTCAGTTGGTCCTTCTCCAGTAGAGCTGGAAGACTCTGCTGACAGCAGCACCTTTCTTGTCCCTCCTGACACACCGCTAGGTGAAAACACACCGGCAGAAACTCTTACAGGCAGCCGTCACAGCCACTGTTCTCTCAATACCATTGTATAAAGGAATAAAAAGCTGACTGCCGGTCAGAAATAGTTTTAGCAACTGTTTGCACAGACAAACACTAATCCATGGTTTGAACTTCAGAAGGAATCTCCACTTTGTTTTTGAACACTGCTTTTATGTTCTAGTTTAGAATTGTGCCTCTCGTTTTTTGGCTGTCGTTATTCATTCACTAATTGATTTGTCCTGTAAATATGGATTGTATAAACTGCTCTTTTTTTCCATTGGTGATGGAAAAGAGTGCAGAGAATTCCTTTGACTTCTAAGGAGAGGAAGAGTATGGGTAGTTTTTTCTTAACCTGAAAGGAAACAAAAATCTACATCAGAAAAAAGCTGCTTGGATTTGGCTGTGTACCACTGGACCCAGGGAACAGACAACGGAAAAGGAGGGTGGGGGCAGTCACTGTTTAATCAATTGCTTTCTCTCTTGCTTGTGTGCTACGCTTGGAAAAGGCAGAGAAGGCTGAACTGCAGGGGAAGGGGCTAGGTGTCTGTGTTACAAAGTGGGAGCACTGAGGAGCTGGAACACGTGCCACCGAGTAAGAGTTGCACGGTATAGAACAGCTGTGTGTTTTGATTTGCCCCGCTACTTCAAAACACCCTAGGGACTAGAGGATAAGTGATGTACGCAATGACTTTGTCTTTTTATGGCAGTGGGTACTAAAAAAACTAGGATTTGCAATTACAATTGATTGTTATTGGTAGCTGCAAAATTTGGTATTGTCAGGTAAACTTCTGGCCCATAAAGAAAACTGAGTCTGTGTAATGCTTGCGTCCCTTCAGTAGAGTCTTCCTATGCGTTAGGTAGCACCATAGAGAAGAGACAGGGAGCAGTTAGCTTTCTGACTGATACAATCCAACTTCACTATCTCAAGCTCCTGTGTTGTAACCCCATCAGGAAGATTAAGGTGTTTTTCTTTGTGGTGTAGCTTCTTTACAGTGAACAGTTGCACAAGACTGGCCTGGATAAAGAGGCTATTGTTCTTGCTTTTCTTAATGCATGCTATTTTTAGCATGCTGGTTCCTTCCCCTGCATTTCACTTCTTTACAGGTGTTACAAATACTGTTTAAAAACAGTGATCGTGTACTATACATAATGTTCAATTCTAATTGGACACTTGTTCCTTATTCTAATACTATAAATTGCCAACCCTGTTCTAGGGTTTCTTCCTAGTCCCCGCTTCTTCCCCCTTCCCCCTGAATAAATGTTTATCCAGGTCCCATGATGGGTTATAATGAGGTTAGTGTACTTAAATCAATAAAGTGCTTTCTTTCACTCTGATATGCCATCTTAAATTTTCCCCTCAGATTGAACGCTTTAAACTAGCTAAGGTAATTTATGTATGGCAAAGTGAGATTCATTTACATCCTTACTAAACCCAAAGTCAGCACTGTTCGCTTTGGTAAAGACTGCAAAGTAATCTTTACAGGCGATTTTAATTTTAAGTGGAAATTTAATGTGCAAATAATTTTCTCCTCCCCCATCCTCCTCTTGCCTCTGGGTTTCCCTGACTTACTGTTGCAGTCAGCAGATGAGATAAACTATAAGGATTATGAGGAATTTGTAAAGAGTGCCCCTTGCGAGTGTTCTCCTAATACCTTATGAAAGGTACACAAGCCTAGAGGGACAGGAAGAAAACACTGCATGAGGGTGTGTATGTGAATTATTTTTCTAGTACTGATGAGAAATCATTCTTGTATGACAAATCCTGACCCACTATTGTGGTTTTCCAGTGCAGCTGACTTTTTCCCCATGGAATATGCTGCTACTTTCTATTCTGTGTCTTGCCTATAGGCTTATACTGTACTTGGGGATTGGTCTTGACAATTCAACTCCTTTTGCACAGAAAACTGTGACTTTCATTATTCAGCTCATATCCAGTGTCTTGACATTCAGACGCTTGCTAACAATCTTGAATCCATTGGAGAGTGTGAATCACAGTTCTCGTGTGTGCTGCTGGCACACGAGCAGGAGGAAACACTGTTAGGAAAGCCTCTCTGTTTGGACGCTTAACACTGCGGTGCGTTCCTGTCCTCTGGTTTGACTGACTCTAACGTGAGTGGCACGAAATGAGAGGAGCCGTTCTCCACCCTGTGGGTCTGTTACCGGCTCCTCCTCTTGAGTTCGAGTCCTGGTCTAATGAAGTGGATGGATAGCAGTAGTCAGAACCATGCATACAAATTATTGAGCATTTCTGAAGTATGAAAATAAAGCGGGTTTTGTGCATTTTTGAGCACATTCATACGTTTTATACATTGTATGTACTGATTTTTCTTTAGTTTTTATAGGTACGAATGTGTGTGTGCGTGTGTGTGTTTCTGGGTGGCGATATATATAAATATATATATATATATATACTGTAGATGGTACCCTTTGTGCTGCGTCCAGCTAGGTGAAGCTAAGCACTGGGATATAAACTAGACTCTTAGAGTTAATACTTCTCTAAAGCTGGCTACACTCTGTTGTAGGACAGGATGTGATAGTGTACACTTGAGTAGGATGCAAAGTCTATGCTACTACAGTCTGTTCCTGAAAAATATTTTGTTAGCAGTGCAAAATAGAAAACTTCTAATTTCCTTTAAAGCCAGATGGAATATTCATTCTTTGTAGTATCCTAGCGCAATAACAAAAGGCCTTTTGGCTTGGTTTAGTCTCTAAAGCTGTATTTTGTGGTTAAGGTGAACAGATACCTTACCTCACGCATCTCATAGGACTGTGGGAATCTGTTCAGTATTTTTTTATTTTTACTTTCAATTCTGTGGTTGAATTTATTTGAAAATAAGCTCTTAACAATTTGCAACTTCATGATGGCTCCTGGTTGTAATTATTCCAAATGTAGGCTTCTTTGTAGAAGCCTCAGTGTAATATTTTTTCGTAGCTTCTGAGCCTTTCCCACTTCAGTATTGGCACAGAGGCTGCTATTTTCCTTTTCCCTATCCTCCTTCATCTTATCTCTAAACAAGGGAAGTTTTGCCTTGAACAGAGCAGCTCACTAAGTACAGCTCTTGTTTACCTCTCAGTGAGCTTCTAATTTGGCAATAAAGCTGTTATTTTCCCCCCCTTTTTAGTGTAGATTTTTTTCACACAGGGTCCTCTCTCTTAGAGTAAGAGCCTTTGTATCAGAAAATGTCACAACTACTAAGACTTCTGGACCAACTGAGGAAGAGTTATATTTCTTGATAGCAGCTGACTTCTCAACAAGACTTCCTCGCCCTTGGCAAGGCGACCGGTGTGAAGTTTCATTTGTGAACACCACTTACAGAGGATTGATGCTTGCTTGAGGAAGACCTTTCTGTTTTGATTGTCACTACATTGATTGGATCTTTGAAGTTATATTTAGCGCATTCTCTTCCCCTCCCTCCCGCCCGGTCCCATCAGCATTCACTTCTCTGGATGTTTTTCTTAAATACTGGTGCATCTCAAATCTTCCTCCAGACACAGTGGAGGAGATTCCATTACCTGAGCATTCCTAGCAGCGCAAGTAAGCAAAGCGTTCATTTCTCTGTGAGTATTCTTGGCGGCAGTTAATTTTGTAAGGTTTCAGTACTCTTCTGCGCAGGGCTAATGCATTCCATTGTGGCCTCTGACAAAACTCTTCCTCAGATTCCCCTTCCTTACTACATACTGTGGTGCCATATTGAGGTCTTTGCTTTTCCTTCAAGAACAGTTTTAGATATTCACTCGTATCAATGTTCTCAGTGATACATGTACACAGTCTCACAGCAGCCTCTAATTTTTTACTAGACGAGTTGTAGAATATTGTAATGTTAGAAAGACAGTGGGTTTAATGCTATGCTAGAAGATCAAAATTGTCATTCAGATGTATGAAGAACGTGTCTGTTTGCATAATGTTCAGTCTTGTCTGTTTTTGAGCCTCAGACTATTCCTTTATCCATTCATGACAGGACACTGATCTAGAAGAAAAACGAAGTAGGTAAAATTTTTTTTTTCCGAAGGCTTAGTCTTCTGGTCTCCGTTCAGGCAGGATTCTTCACTAAGTCATTGGGTTCTCTGTCTGAGTAAAGATCACAGGATTGCCCGTTCAAATGTCTTTGAAGTGTGACTTGGGAAGAAACTGTTTTTGTGACCAGTAATTGCTGTTCTTTCCCCATCTAATGTTAAATAAATTTGAAGCTGTTTTTAAAATATTTTTCATCTTTTAGATGGGGATTTTCAGTGGCAAAGCACTGAAGTTTTAATGTTGTCTCATACAGTTTGTAGCACGCGTTTCTTTTTTCAGCTTCTGAAAAATCTTTTTTTCTCATCAGTTAAGGAACCTGAAGTATATCCAGAAATTTCTTGTAAATTTCCCTCCCAAGTTGGGAGCTGGAACCTAAAACTGGAGCAGATTGGTGTAGAGGAGGCAAATCAGTCAAAGTTCATATGTTCTGGGTCTCACACTTAACCTGGTTCCAAATGAAATAGGCATTTCTTTGAAATAGATGCATTCAACAGTAAAGATCTGCTTCCCCTATCAATATTCTACGTTAACTGCCTGCTACGGTACGACATAGCTTTAATTTTTCAGTATTGTGCACCTTGAAAGTTGAGCGGGTTGGAGCTGATGCCAGCAGAGATGCTGCACTTGCAGTCTGCGTGCATGGCCACGCCACACTGTAACCTGAATGTCCGACTTCTGTATGCCTGGGAGGCTGAGAGAGAGTGAGACACTGCTTTTTACCTTCTCTTGGAAAATAATTTTAGCCAATGCTGCATTTGCAGGCTTCTCCTGTGTAGTTGGTTTGTGACTGGATTTAACTGTGGCAGTGTATAAAAGATTTTGATATTCTGTGAAATACCATGTAGAATTTAAATTTGATACTATAATAATTCAGTCCCTGTGACATTGTTTTTTGTTTTAACTTCTTTCTTTGGGGTTGGCACTAATCTTTCTTTTTTTCTCAAGATGCTGTGAGAAACATTTCATCCAAATGCCAAATAAATTGTGTTCTGTAAGAGAAATGGTCTGCTGTAATGTCTCCTGATTTTTGCATCGGTGTGGTGGTTCATCATTGCGAAGGGAATTCTTGTCATATTATGCTTCTAAACTATGATCTTGCAAAAAGATCAACAGATGCACTTAACTTCAAATGGGGAGGCTGTAGAAGTCCTGTTGCATAGAAATACCAGTGGAATTTAGCTATATTAATCAATGTTGTTTTTTGTTTTTATACCTGAGAAGGAAAAGTACAGCCCATTTCTGCTGCCTTGGTGAAAATTCCCAAACCCATCTGTAAAAACATCCGGAATCAGTGGGAAGCAAATGCACGTGGTCGTGTTAGGATGTGAGAGGGTGCTAAACCCCTCTCGGAGCCCACCAGCTGCTTCCTGGACAGACCAGTGTGGTTCTTGTGATAGACAGAAATGCAAGCCGATCGCCTGATCCTGCCAGAGAACTGATGTGAAATCAGCAGGGGATAATTACCTGTGAGAGCAGTGCAAGAGCTATTAGTGCTGACCGAGTCCTGCCTATGTGAGCTGGCAGATGCTGAGGAAGCGTGCACCTTGCTCCAAGGAAAGTACAGTGAAGAGATCCAGCTGTGCTGATCCCTTCAGTTTGGTTGGGGGGAGAGTCTGTTCTGAAGCCTGAGCCAAATTTTGCAGTAGATTTATTAAGTGAGGTTGTGGAGCCCTCTCCTGTTGCTGGTACAGCACCCTTCCCTGCCTTGTGCTTTATACCCTGTGGGTCCGGCTGGAGGAAGCGCCCTGGGCGTCATCCTGTCGGGCTGGCAGGAGAAAATCAGTGGCTCACGAAAGCCCTGTGCTGGGGCAAGGAGTCAGGTTCTCCACGCTGGGAGACAGACGCTGGGATCCGTCTGTCCTGCGGGGAGATGGACAGTAGATGGCGTTCCTACTTGAAAACCGCTCCATCCTGGTCTAAATTACAGGCTATCGTAAATCTCTTTGGAGTTCTGGGGAAAAGAGATGAGTTGGTTTCTGTGCAGTTGGAAAGCCAGATGTTCTGCCTCGGAGTCCCCGTTTGCCTGTAATAAGATAGTTTGTGATGCTGCATATCATGAAAGAACCTGTAGCTCTAAACCGCTTAACAAAGCTGGCTGGTGGTGGGGGAATATTCCCTCAAAAGGGCCTTGCTGGAGAAATAAATCCCTTTAAACTATTGTGCTGGTTAATAATGCAAGTTTATCAATGCATCCCTTGTAGATGGGCTAGGCTGATGGCATAGGAGATGAAGCAATACCCAAACGTGAGTCGGTTCAGTTTCAGTCTCTGCTTTGGGCACTGCTCTGAAGGTTGCTTTTTATCTGTTAAGTACTTTCCTCATAGCAAAATTACTGTGGACTCCAAATGTTGGCCTAGCCAAAGTGCTGTTCAGAGGCTGTGTCCTTTCAGAGCAGAGAAAGCTGCGTGGCAGTATGTGTCCTTAACTCTCTCCTTTAGAGTAGCCTGAGCAGCAAGTGCAGTGCTATAGGGCTGCAGAGGTGCTTGTGTTCATCACTGTCCTAATGATAGGCCTTCTGCAGAGGACCTCTGTACAAATGTTGCTTTTGAGGTATTTCAGATGTGAATGCAGGTACCAAATTTTCCGGACCATGCAACATCAAATCCACTTTCCCTGGGGAGAAGTAGTTTAAGGATCAGAAATTGACCTCCTGAGCCCAGCCTGCCCTTCCCAGGTACGGGGGAAGTCCTGCAGTTCCCTTTTGCCAGCTCCGGACCTGACCAGTGTGATGCCTGATCTCTGTGCTCGGGAGCTGAAAAGAATTAGCTTGTTCTGCAGGCTGCTGGGCTCGCAGTATTTACTGTGAGCATTGAGGGACAAGTCCAAGTAGCATTGCTAGGCTGTCCCGGAGATCTGCTTGTGGCCGCAGGACGCATTCAGCATTGAATGCTGTCCAGTGTGTGGTGTCATCATCGCTGCGGGAGCTCTGGCCTCCCTTTCCTCTGCCCGCAGAGGGCAGCCGCTGCCAAAGCTCCCTCCGGCTCCTCTCTTGCTTCTGGACCTGAACCAGCGCATCCCGGAGCTCGCAGAGCTCCCTCTCTGCTGTCAGGTGCTGGTTCAACTAAGGGCGAGGGGACGCAGCCCTTCCTTCGCTGCCAGTCTCGCTGGGAGACAAATGTGTCTCTGCAGCAGCCGACTATGGTAGCAAACGCCAGGTAGGACGGGGGAGAGCTGGGCTGCCAGGACGCAGCCTGGCTGTGTCGGCCCTGCGTGGCTGTGCTGACTCCACCAGACCCTTCCCTTTCTGCCGTTGTCCCTTGGGGACGGGAGATGATGCTGTGGCCCTCGGGAGACAGACCAGGCTGTACTGCGTGGCCCTAGCTGATTTGCAGCTGCCTCACTGATTCCAGTGGAGCTCCTGCGGGATACGCGGGTGCGCACAGCCGTCCGTGCCTCGGGCGAGTGAGGCAGCTATTGGCATTAACATGCAGATACTGTGCAGAGCAGCGCTGGGCAGCCCTCTGCTTTATACTGTTACCTGCTGAAAAGGCGTCTTTCTGGGAGAGCAATTGGCAGCCGTGCTCAGCGTGGCTTGCGTGACGTGCTTTCGGGCGCGGATTTTGAGGGCGTGGATCGGATGTGCCGCGGTGACCCAGCTGCGCCCCACTGGACCCAGCTGCGCCGGGGGTCTGGCGGCCTTGCCGGGAGCAGGGAGACGTCGCTGACGGCCAGCGGCCAGAGGGGAGCCCAGCGATGAATGACGGGGCTGTGAAGCCGACGCGCTGCTAGCGGCAGTTTTGGATGGGGATTTGGGGCAGGAGAGGCTGACCAATATGCACTGTAAGTACTTTCTGGGTTGCTGGTGACAGGATAGCAACAGAACAAGCTTATTATGCTCTTTGTAAGAGCTTATCGCTCTTATTACGGAGATCAAAGATCTTCATGGAAAATCAGAAATGGCCAGAGTAGTTATTCTGCTTGAACTTCTCTCCCTCCTGCCCTTGGTTCTCTTCACATCCACAACCCTTCAGGCACCACTGTCCAGGCTGTTTGAGCTGTGTGGCTCCTCTCTGGCTGGCCAAGTCCTTTAGTGGTCCCTGGTGCCGTCAGCTCAGGTCCCCGGGGCTGGCGCCTGGGTGGGCGATGCAGGATTTACCTCCCGGGAGCTGTTCTTGGCGCCTCCGACGTGTGCTGGTACAAACGCTTGCTGACGGTGCTTGTGGCCGGGGCTTCCCAGCAGGGTGGCACCGTGCCCACCTCGGGTCGATGGATGGAAGTAACTATTTTTCAGTGAGTTTTTTTTTTTTCTTTTTTTCTTAAGCTTTAATGGCTCTTGCCCTTCACACTAGGGAACACCTTCACCGACGGGGACCTCACCCACCTCCCTCGTGGCAGGAAGACGCTTGCTGTCTCCCTCTCCAAGGACGGTGCGGAGCTGCAGGACTCGGCTGCTTGCAGCAAGCTCATCGCCACGGTGGCAGCAGCAGCAGGCTGGGAAGGATGCACCAGCTCTTTCAAGGTTTGGTCCAGATCCTATAGAAACCTGAGGCTGGGTCACTCCACCTGGTCCCAGTGCTACCAGGGTGCTCCTGGGGCGGAGGGCAGGCTGGGGAGCGGGGTACAGCAGGAGAGCTGGCAGAGCCTTGGGTCTCCCTCTTGCCTCCCACACCGTCTCTTGGGTAACATCTCTTGTCTTGCCAAAAATGAGCACCTTAGGAGTCTGAAGGCTTAAAGAGGAGCTGTGTCCCAGGGGGCACCTGGACATGCCTGGACCACTTGGTGGCTTCAAGTCTTTGGATGTACACACCGTGTGGGTTAGGGAGAGTTTTTAGCCTTTGAAACAAGCAGGTGCAGGTCGTCTCTACTAGAAAACGGTGGGAGAAAGGCAAACCGGCAAGTCTGTGGTGTCAGAGACCATAAACTTCCCTCTTCCCTTCCCTCTCCAGGTTGCTCCGGAGAGATGATTACAGCCCTTTGCAAACTGCATCATCCACAAACCAGGCGCCAAACCTGACCGATGGCCCAAACCCAGGCTCGCTCCAGGGAGCTCCCTGCTGTCTCCCTCCTCTCTGCCCGTTGCTGCTGCCGAAACGTGCGCCTCGTTTCTTCGCCGGTACCTACTGGTGGCTGTCTCCGTGCTGGGGGGGGGTGCCGGGGTTTATTTATCCTGGCAACGTCTCCGCGGCGCTCCGAGCCAGGAACTGAGTACCAGCAAGAGCAGCGGGTCCTGTGGCCTCCTTTTTAATTGTTGCCTGAAGAAAGCAGGGATATTTTAGGATAATGTGACAACACCGCAATCCGGTGTTGTCGTGCCCCCCTTTTCCAACCTCACTGCTGCAGGAGAGTAACTGCTCCTCCGAGATAAGGGCTCCCGCGGGGCTGGGCCCATTTGGTGACATGATGGACGCGAAGCCGAGCTGCTGCGGGCGGCTGGCGCTGCTCAGAGCGATGGTCCCGGGGTGGGTGAGGAGCCTTGGAGGGCAGGGGACGCCCTGGGCCGAGCTCT